CCTTATAAAAACTGCAGTATTATAAAAAATAAAATAAAAAAACGGCTGTAATTTTTTTGTAAGGATTTACTCAGTCCTACTAGCACACTAAGGCTTAAAATGAATCATGGTTCATATTATTTTTGTCTGTGTGTATATTTTTCTATAACTCTAAGGTTCCCCTGGTAGAAGACTTGAACTCCCTGGTAGAAGAGATTTTGTATCTCAATGGGACTTTTCAGATTAAATAAGTAAATGTATTAATTCATAAAAAGGAAGCTAGCATGTAAAACTGCAAAATATATTCTTTTACATTTTAAGCTGTTATTTTTTGTTATTTACCCTGCTGAAAAAAAACAGCTTAAACCAGTCAAGGTTGGTTGGCTGATTTTAGCTGGTCAATCAGCCTGGTTTTAGAGGGTTATGGCCATTTCCAGGCTGGTCTTAGAGCCTGACCAGCTAAGACCAGGCTGTAAATGGCTGGAAAGCAGCCTGGAAATGGCCAAAACCCCCTAAAACCAGGCTGGTCAACCAGCTTAGGCTGATATAAAAAAATAATAATTTCAGCAGGGTAGTAAAATTACCTTTGGAAGTACAAATAACTTTTAGAAATTAAGGTTCACTTAATAATATGGATTTGCTTGTTTTTTTAAAGCCATGGTTGGCTTCTATGGTGATACAGAAACCTGTTGCTGAAAAAACTACAACTATAAATTGAATTTGGGGCGGTGCGGTGCTACAATCGCCTCATAGCAAAAAGGCCGCTGGTTTGAGCCTCAGCTAAATGAGTTGGCATTTCAGTGTGGAGTTTGCATGTTCTCTCCATATTTGTGTGGGTTTCCTCCAGTTCATTCGGTTTCTCCCACAAATGCAAAGACGTGTTACAGGTGAATTGAGTATATGCTGAAATTGTCCATAGTGTATGTGTGTGTATAGATGTTTCCCACCGATAGGTTGCAGCTGGAAAGGCATCCGCTGAACTAAGCCGAAAAGAAAATTAATGAAATTTTAAATTAAAGATTAGTATTGAAAACAAAATGCATCAAAAGCTGTTATGCTGTAATATACATTGTATATATATACACACACACACACACACACATATAGGTAGGCAACCAAAATGCCTATCATTGACTTGTGTAAAAGACAACCCTGTCACAAGTCCAACTACAAAATAACCACCAAAAAACACAAAGGAGCATTGGCACCATTTGCCAGTAATGTTGGTGCAGTGGTGCAATAGGCCCATTTTCCTTACTGCTAAATATTCCACAGTCAACATTTAGTGGAATTATAACAAAGCAGTTGGGAACAACAACTCAGCTATGCAGTGGTAGTGAGTCTTAGTTAACAGAGTGTGGTTAGCCCATGCTGAGGCAACACAGTGCAAAATACACCATCTTTCTGCAGAGACAATAGCTAAAGGCCTACAAGCTTCATGTGGTCTTCAAATTAGCTCAAGAACAGTGCGTAGAGTGCTTCATGGGTTTCCATGGCAGAGTAGCTGCATCCAAACCTTACATCACCAAGTACAATGAAAGAGTGTTGGATGCAGTGATGTAAAGCACACCATGACTGACTCCAGAGCTGTGAAGAGGTCTTCTCAGGGGTGATCATTCCTGCTTCTGCCTGGTACTCCGATGGATAAATTTGTGTTTGGTGTACTTGCCAGGCTACATTGTGCTAAGTGTAAGATTTGGTGAAAGGTGGGTAATGGAGTGGGGTTGTTTTTTTAAGGGGTTTGGCTTGGCTCCTTAGTTCAAGTGATAGGAACTCTAAATCCTTCAGGCCAAGCATACCAAGACATTTTGGACAATTTCATGCTCCCACCTTTGTGGGAAAAGTTTAGAGATGACCCCTTCCTGTTCCGTCATGGTGCACAAAACAGTGCAGAAAGATATGAATGAGTGAGTTTGGTGTGGGGGAACTTGGTCGGCTTGCACAAAGCCCTGACCTCACAAATGCACTTCTAGAACAGTCAAAAATTCAAATGGAGACCTTCAAGTGGGAGAGATTACACTGCAAGTAGGCAGGGTTTAGAGTTGGTGAAGGTGTAGTAGACATTAAAAAAAAAAAAAAAAAAAAAAAAAACAGGTTACTGTGGGGATGAATTTAGTTTTCCTGACCTCCATTAATACCCTTCTTTCAAAAATCCACATAAACATGTATTAAGCTTGTGGAAAGAGTTGAAGCTGCAAAGGTTGGACCAGATCCAAATGAAACAAAGATAAAGATAAAGATGATTGTGCATTATTTGGGTTTCAAAAAAAGCTCCGAGATGGGCGTGGAGCACTGCGAGCAGAGGGAAAAGTGGGCATGACTGGCAGAGCAGGGGATCAAACAACGGTTGTCAGTTGGCTCACAAAATGAGACAAACCATGTGGAGACACATGATTTTATAGTTTACAAAGTTGAAATGCAAAGAAATATACTAATTTATAGGGTTCATACACATTTTAACTACTGAAATTCCAGGACTTTTCCATATCTTTCAGGTAAATATTCATGACCTACTGTTTCATGTCTACGTGCATTACATGAAAAAAATGCAAGTTTTTAGTCTGTATTTTATTTTTATTTGAAATAGTTTTCAAAAAGTATCTTGCTGTCAGTTGACAGTTGAAAATATTTTAGAAATGTTGACTTGAGTTTTCATAAGAACTATAAGAATAGTACAAATTAGCTTTTACAGCTGAAACTGCGCAAGAGATTCTGCAATTGAATTTCAAATCTACCCAATATAATCACCTCAAACATAGTGAAGTAGATAGATTTTTGTTAAGTTTCCATAATATTTGAGGTTTGTTTGTTTTTCCAAAATTTTCCAGGCCTGGAAAATGCCTTGTCAAAATTCCATGACTTTTTCAGGTTTTCCTGGACTATGTGAACCCTGAATGTAAATGTCCTGCTACATTTGTTACTTGTAATTTCGTATGCACATAACCACAATTTGTTATATCCTTATAAAGATAATCTTGCTTATACAAACAATGTAAATAAAAAGTACTTATCTACTCCACAATCTCCAGTTCTGAAAGCAGACACAGTGGAAAGCAGTGCAGCAGATCTCTTTCCCTATCTATTCCAAGCCCTGCTGGTAATCCAGTAGATTTTAAATAGGCAATTCGTCTGACTGGTTACAAACTCAATGGATAAAACACAAAGCCAGCGCCATTCTACAAATCTCGGTTAGCTCTCCCAACTAAAATGCTTGCTGCAAACCAACAGCTTTGCTCTATTGGCCTTGACAGCATCGCAAGGACAAACATGCAACAAACCCTATGGATCATAAATACAAACACATACGACTCGTGCCGTGAACGGTCTCACCCAGTCATTGGGTCTCAGATTGGCAGGTCTGCCTTGCCTTCAGAAAGCAAGTACTCTCATGAATAATTAAGAAGCAGGCTCTTCTCATAGGATAAGAAACTCTACAATGAATAATAAAGAGAAACTGACACGTCATTACTCCACTAGCAGATTTGCGATACGTTACCGATTTTGATCCCGCCACAATCATTATTTTAAACCCGGAGGATGTAATTAGCTGACAAAAGCTCAAAACTATCCAGTTTTCCCCACAATTAAAGCTGAATGGTGCAAACGTTGTCTTAATAGTATATTTTTTTATTTATTATTATTATATATTTTTTTATTAAACGTTGTCTTAACTGATGCTAAACACACAAATATTTTAAAATCTCAAAAAATGTATTCCAGGGTGTCTTGAAGGTTTGAATGTTCATCAACCAATCAGAATAAAACATTCAACAGCCCCATAGAATAATTAAAAAACGTACACTCTCTGCATCCTTTAGATTACACTCCAGCGTGTGCTTTATTAAATGAGAAACAGCAAAACTGATATTAGATTAAAAACATAAAAAGCTCCCTTGGTAACCAGTTATAAATAGGATACATAAAAAAATGACCAAATTTAATGAAAATAAAATGAAATAAAACTGCAGAATTAAATATTAATTAAATACCAAAGAAAATGTTAAGCACTTTAATTGTATATAAACTATAGTAAAATAACCCTATTTAAGCAACTGCGAAAGCATGCTGCATAGTAAAGCATTCTGAACCCAGTCTGTGTATATATTTGCATGACTAGATCAGTTCCGTTCTAGATTCCAGTTAATAAAAAATCATGTGGTTACAACACAACCCCTCACTAATGAACAGCGCAGTCATTTAGCCGAATGCTTCAAGGCCTTTAAAAATCAATGTTCTTATCTGCAATCCGAAGCAAGCGAGTACATTCAGCTCGTGGGCTATTCAAATGAGCACCGACGGCTGAATAATTAATGCTGTATTAATTTTACATTAATTAAACTTGTATTAATTCATTGTAATGCCTTTCTCAAAGACTTCCACAGATGTGTGAAGCCTCGCCTATGAGCGCTCGCTATTACTAGACAGTCACAGCAACACTTTAAAATTCTCTTTACAGTCTTAACTCAGACACTGTCAAAACCTGCCAGGCTCATTTCAGAGAGGCTGAGCAAATAGTGTGGAAAAGGGAAAGGGAATTCTTTGAAGGAAGTGATAGAGAGTACAAAAGCATGTGATGGAAAGAAAGAGCTGGATAATTTAATTTTCCATCTTTGGCCATTGACAATAGAACCAGTGTGCAAAGCCATTATGCTAAAAACACACACATTTCGACAATAACACTCACATGATCGCCAGTCCATCGACAAACATTAAAATCAGCATTTGTAAGCTGATAAATATGGAAAACCAAACGACGAACGCAAGAAATGCATGAGATCACATGCAAACAAAAAACTGAAGTGACAAACACTCAAGGCAGACATTTTAACGAAAAGCAAGTGTTTATTCCATTTCTGTATCATTGAAAGGCTATTTACATGTTCATTTCCATTTTTCATTAAGTCTCACAATATCACAGCATTAAAATTCAGCACGCAACACAAACAATATCGAAAAAACACTCCCAATGGCCCAATAGGAGTACGACGAGCTGCCAACGGGAGCCAATCCAAGCGCAGAGATCAATAGTAGTCCTCCAAATCTGGTTTGTCACCCTGATTTTGAATCTGCTGCTGTTTCTTGTAGAGATCAGCAATCTGAGAGAGAAAGAGAGAGAGACACTGATGCAGGAGATCAGAACAGTTCATTTGGAGAGGGAGTATTTGTGCGTTTCCAACCGTCGGGAGACAGGAATAAAAGAAAACCGCAATAAATGAACTGTGAAAATGAGAAGGGGGAAAAGGAAAGGAAGACAGTGTGGCGCGTAAAAAGATGGATTTCCTTTAACGGATCCACTCCACTTGCTCCACTAAATCACGATGTCACGACGCTTCCAATGTCATCATGTTTGACTTTCAAGAGGAAAAACTACTTTCAGAATCTCACTTTTTCAGTCACGTCTGCCATGGGATGACAACGCACACGTGAACGGTGCCATATCCTGCGTTGTTTTCATACATTATGCATTTATGACATTTGCTTTTGAAAGAAATGTCTCATGTGGGGTAATTACCACCGACTCCTACATCTGCGAATACACTAGTGAAACTGCTTCCATTGTGCTTTTCTACTGTAATGCAGATTATTAACTCTAAATTAGGCATCTTGATTAATTCCATATTTAGTCATTCATATTATAATTATACATCTGTTTTTATTTTAAAGCCAGAACCATCTTTGTTCACATATTTTACTAATTAGAAACCCTGGTGTATTCCTTTTCCTCCCTGAATGCAGTGTATACACAGTTCCCCTTATTCTGTGTGTTACCTGCGACCCTGTGGTGGCATCCTCTGGCTTTTTGTCATCTCTGATCCTGAGGAATCGTGGGAAACGGAGGGAAATGCCTTTCTCTGGGTCCACCTGATGGACAAAGAGAGAACTGCACCATGAAGACTTCAGCGCAGTGAACTTAGACACAGTGAAATTAAACCTATGAACCAAAAAGCACTGATTCAGCATCATGCTTCACATGTGTCTGTGGTTTACTGACCAATCCCATGGCTGCTTTGTAGACTGGAGACAGGGAAAGGTCAGCGCATTTCACCTCCCACACCTGCACCGCCTCCAGCCATACATCCGGCTCTGCTGATTGGTCTACACGGTAGTACGGGCGGGGTTTGGGTAAAATGTGCTCCTATAGTGGATTGGAAAACAGTTTAGATCACTCACTGATACATGGATAAACAATACACTAAAATAAAGTGTAAACACTGATGTACCTTTAAGAAGTTGTAATGCTGCTCCAGATCTTCGTCTTTGAATCCTGTTCCAATCTGACCAAAGCCAACGAATAAAATGTTACACGATGAAAAATTAAAACACACAATGTCTCTAAAATGATGTGTCAATGATAAATGTGGGTTTGTAAAATAAATGAATGCATAAATTAGTTGTTTTATAATAGGATAGAGTCATTAAATCAATCAAAAGTGACTTTAAAGACATTATCAATGCTATAAAAAGATTTCTTAAAAGAAATCAGCATCGTTTCTAAAATAATGTTGTGCAGCACTACATTTTTCAACATTGAGAACAAGAAATATTTCTTGTGCACAAAATCATCTTATCAGAATGACTTCTGAAGGTTAATGTAAAGACTTGAGTAATGACGACTGAATATTCAGCTTTGCCATCATAGGAATTGCATTTTAATAAAACATAAATTTTGTAATTTACTGTTTCGTTTTAGAATTTTTTCACCTTGTTTGTGTTTGTACACACATAGAGAGACAGAGACATAAGAATCTTATATTAAAATTCATTAAAATGAAAAATATATATTTGTATCAAAATGTTCTGGTATTCTATATACTTCAAAAATGCTATATATTTGAATCAATGGGAATTTGTAATTTAAAAGGATTATATATTCATACAATTTGTTGACTTTATTGTCCTAATTTGTCACTTTGGAAAAAGTTGTATGAAAAAAATTGTGTACATGTAAAAATTTATACAAACCCCCGTAAATTCCAAACACAATTCAAAAACATGCTAATTCAATTCATCTGGTGAAAATATTAATGAATTACTGAATTCACAAATTGTGTGTTTACAAATTGGATTTTGTAAATATGAATTGTGGTGAGTTTTATTTTGTAAATGTATTATTTTTGAGACTCATCTGGCTCCATAGGGCTGAGCCTGGTCAGTACATGGATGGGAGACCACATAGGAAAGCTAGGTTGCTATAGGAAATAGTGTTAGTGAGGCCAGCAGGGAGCGCTCGACCTGTGGTCTGTGTGAGTCCTAATGCCCCAGTATATTCAAGGGGACACCATACTGTCAGTAAGCGTCATTTCGGATGAGACGTAAACCGAAGTCCCGACTCTCTGGGGTCATTAAAAATTCCCTTGGCACTTCCTGTAAAGAATAGGGGTGTAACCCTTGTGTCCTGGTCAAATTCATCCCTATCCACTAAATTGGCTCTATCACGGTCTCTCCACTCCACCAATTGCTGGTGTGTGGTTAGCACACTGGCACATTGTCCTGTGGCTGCATTCGCATCATCCAAGTGGATGCTGCACACTGGTGGTGGTGTGGAGACAGCCCACCTCATGATTGTTAAGCGATTTGAGTGTATGACCATACATACATACATACACAAAAAATGCTCTATATAATTACACATTACAATATTTTTACATTACATTACATAGTCCTAGTTTTCCTGTGTGTAAATACACAAACTTATCGCTATCCTCAAGGAGACTTCCCATAGACGTAATGATTTTTATACAGTACAGACTGCATATTCTATCCCCTACCCCAACCCTAAACCCAGCCATTCACAGGAAACGATCTGCATTTTTACATTTTCAAAATACCTAATCTGGTGTGATTTCAGCCAAAAAATTCGCCTAACTGTAAAGAATACAAGCCACATGCACACTTACACACACACAAACACACCTTGCAAACAGACTGGAATTCCTCGTTCTCTTCATCATAGCAGGCCAGCAGAAATCCTCCATAGCCGCCTGCTCTCTTCCCCTTGCCCAGATATGCACCAATCACACACAGATCCACGGTGTCTCCAACACCCTCCAGATAGTCCTTTTTCAGCTGCAGAAAAACACACCATTAGAAGCAATATAGCACTAGCAAATGACAATTCTGACAGTGGTATAAATATGAATAAATTGCATAACTACACTGCAAGAAAGCATTTTATCGGTATCTTTGTCTTGTTCTGGAGTACGGAACATAAACAAAACGATTAAAACCCGATAAATGTACCCGAGAGGTAGAACGGCACGCACTTGTCATCACTCTCCCTCCTGTCATTTTAAACCTGTATGAATTTCATTGTTTCGGGGAAACTCAAAAGAAGATGTTGGCAGAATGACAGCCTCAGTCACCATTTACTATCACTGCTCTCATGCAAATAGAAGTGATTGGTGACTCAGGCTGTCATTCTGACGAACATTTTGTGTTCCACTGAAGCAAGTCATTCACATAAGTTTGAAATATAAGGGCTGAGTCAAGCCTCTCTTCATGGTAGAGACCATCAATTCGGAGTTAAGCTAAAAACTAAATTAATACCATGGGTAACTAAATTAATGTCTGAAGGTCTGGAGGTGTTAAAGGAATTCTTATTCAGCAAGAATAAATATCAAAAGATCAAAAGTAATGGTCACTAAAAAAAAAAAAACTATTGAATAAATTGCTGAGTTTTTTAATTTTTTTGTTTGGACAATATTAAAATAATCTTGCAAAAAACGCAGAATAAATAGCTGCTAAAGTTTAGCTTAATCATTACTCAAATAAACGACACATAAAAAAAGTCAATGAAATTTTAATACTGTTTTACACTGACTAGAGATTATGGTCTAGGGTATCTACACATTTTACCAAGTCGAATTTAAGACTTTTTAAGACCTTTTTTTAAGACATGAAAATAAAATTTCAGACTTGCTGTATATAGGGCTAGATGCTAGGAATTTTTAATGACCCAGCAGAAAAAAAATATATAATTAGTCATTTCTTAGCCACATATTTTAAATAACGTGTCAAAACAACCAGACCGTAGATGTATACATAGATTTTTGTTCAACATAACTTAAAAAAAAATCATACAGAAAAATAAATGTTTGCACACTACAGTTATAATATTGGTTACGAGCATTTTTGCCAAAAGTGTTATTGAGATCCATTGGGTAGCGTTACACAAACAAAAGAAAATTAAGACATTAAGACATTAAGACTTTACGACCCCGTGGATTCCCGTTTGCTCATAATATAAGGCTGGACAGAATCTTTTGACATTTTTTCTATTTCTGCACAGAGTTTTGTAAAAAAAAAAAAAAAAAAAAAAATATATATATATATATATATATATATATATATATATATATAGTGGATTTATGAGGAAAGCAATCTCAGTCTTAAAAATAACACATTTACAAAACTAAATTCATACATCCACAACACAATTAAAATTGACAAAATCCAATTTGTAAATTCAAAACATGATTCAAAAACACAAATTCAATTCTTTAGGCGAAAATGTTTGTGTTTTACTTGTGAATTAACAAATTGTCTTTACAAACTGATCAACTGGATTTTTTAATGTGAATTGTCCATGTATGAATTTTATTTTGTAAATGTACTATTTTTAAGGCTGAGTTCCTTTTAAAAAAACACAACACTCACATTGTAAAACAAAAAAGAATTTGTAAACCAAGTAAAGCAGAAAGACAGAAATTTCAGGCACAGCCTAAAATTATTCAGCGTTTACATTAGCTGAGCCCCACACAATATTTCTTCACGAGCCCACTTCAGCCAGACCATAATTCCTGGCTGTGCCTGAACCGCTGTCCCTGTAGCCAGAGGGCGTTTTCCACTGCAGGTGACAGTGTCACGTCAAGCAGATCTGTGCTTTCCAGAGAAAATGTGGACACCGAGTAAAACACATTGAGTTCCATATATATTCTTCCAATTAACTACTACAATACTGTTTCCTTTTTTCACAAGAAGCTGATTTTGTTTAAATGCTGCTAGGAAGACGATCCAGAAATGGATTAAGTATAGCTCTATCATTGTTTCAAGTCGAAAAGGATCATGCTTTATGATTAGTTTTAATAAATAAAATAATAATAAATCTAAAGCAAGTAAATTTCTACTCTGTATCAAAAAGATATTAATAACTAAATGTCACAAGCCTTCAACACGTCATTGACATGTCTAAGTAAACAGGCCAGGACTGCTCAATATGTCATTTCATCATCTATATCACATGTGCATTCACAATAGTCACATCACAACATCTGCAACGGTGAGCAGGGATTATTATAGTTGACCGGACATGAAGAATGTACAGTGTTATTTTACATTACATTTGATTACTCAATGATTCAATAAAATATTGAAATGCTGATTTGTGATAATTCCACCCTCGATACATTATTGATGTAGCCAAGTATCGATATTTATTTAAAGGTACAAAAGAATTCATCAGCCTTGCACTGCTACCGTTTACCACCTAGGCCACAGCACATGAGGTGGCACTTCTTGTAATGGCCGATCGAGCACATACCAATGTTGCAATTCTACAAAATATATGTGCTGGTAAAAAAAGAAATACATCTTATAACTTTGATGCGTTATTTCCCTTATCATTTAAAAATATTTAACATATTTATCATTTAATATTTCAACATAAAAATATTTATTGCTACAAGATTATTCCAATCAAAGTTAATGATTTCATGATTTCAGAGCTATTCAAGACATCTGCCAAAATTGTATTCATATTGCATTATAAATAAAACATTGCAAAGGCAGATTTTTCCAATATCATAAAGCCCTAAAACAGGCTAATGATATTATTATTCATTGCATTTAATCATTAAATGCTTTTATTAGAAACCATTGATCCTTTTCACATCCCTAATAGCCTTTAATTTACTGTAAAGCATTTAGGTTGTGCAATTAATTAACACATCTTATGCTAGAGAACACTTATTGCATTATTAAGGTAAGCAATTAATTGATTAACTTATAGTTAATAAAAACAATGATCAATTGAGGAAGTTTACAGCCATAATCTGAACAAAAAACAGAGATGCATTTGCAAAAGTTAACCCTCTGGGGTCTGAGGGTGTTTTGGGGCTCTGGAGAAGTTTTGACATGCACTGACATTTGTGTTGTTTTCAGTATCTTAAAAACATATTAATGGCTAAAGTGTGATAACACTGAAAACAGCACAAGTTGGGCTACAATAATACCCAGAGAGCATGTTTGTATGTGTTTGTGTTTTTGAGAAAGAAACGTTTATGCGTGGTTAGTGAAAAACTAAAATTTTGAAGTCACTGAAACAAGGCCATGAAACACACAGAGAACATTTGTGCACAAGACTTTTGAGAACTGGGTCTGGTAATCTAGTGTTTTTGCTTCAAAATGATGTGAGAATCATCTTGTTCACTTGCTCACAGAAAACAATCTAATGAATTAAAATTTTTAAGTCACTTTTTGAGCGAAATTGGTTTATGCAGGAAGGTGCGAACTATCATTACTATGCAGTGAGTCACACCTGAGAAGACAAAGACCTGCATAATGAGCTGCATAATGAGCCATCAGACAGGTACAGTATGTGACTAGGAGGGAAGAGTTTCAAGAAGGAATCAGAGGAAAGTTTATATACTTTTTTGTTTGCGGTTTATTTAAAATATATTAAATCACACAAAATAACTGGAGATACACTTGCGAGAGTCAGTGCACTCTATAAAGTGTACTGTATATAATTTTTTATTTAACTTTATGTCAGCGGAGACTCACAGACGCAGGATTATTTGGTCCACTTTTGTAGTGTTTTTAAACATTTTGTGAAGTTGAAGGCTACATCTTCATCTAATAATTTGTCGGAATGACACAGAGCAACATTACTCTCATTACTGAGCAAAGTCATAGTACTTCTTGTCTACTTTAGCTCTCTTTGCCGCTGGTCCTTTACCTCTGTTGTTTTCACATCTGGAGTTACATAGGATCGCGCTTACTGAGAGGTGGGACCACGCTGCTGTAATGAGGCGATATAGGAAAAGTCCTTACTTTTATACGGATTACATAAAAGGGGATCATTTGTTTTCGACTTGAATTAATGCAAAAGTAGACATATCAAGCTTTATACAGATATCATAAATCATCATCTTTGTTGACTATCTGCCGAGTTTCCTTTCATTTTAGTGACGTGTTTTTCTGACCACCGTCTGCTCGCGTCTTCAGACGCTTGTAATAACAATGCCTTGTGGGCGTGGTCGCATTAAAACTAATGAGATCAGACTGAGAAACTAGACATAGCGTTGGTTTCATACCGATTACTTTATCAAGCAATGTTTGTTTTCAACATGCATAGCTGCGTTTAAAAGTAGACACTTTAAGCTTTTTAGAAATACATTTCTCATCTGTGTGCGTTTTGTATTCGCGGAGTTTTAGCGCATTTTACCGACGCGTTTCTAAAAGCAGATCACGGAGAGAAAAACGACAGAATGCCTACACTGTTTGTTTTCCTTATTTTGCAAAAGGACACACGTTTGTTGTTGTTGTGAGTGTACACAACAAAAAGTAGACACATAACAGATTCAATTGATGTATTGATCTTATCTGCACGATCAAAACTGATAGTGTTATTTAAGTTCATTTCAGCAGTTCGACGCCACCACAGGTCAAAACGCGTATATGCGGTCTTCGACCCCAGAGGGTTAATACCAGGTGGAAACGGCAAAGTGCAAATGCTGACAATGTGATATGATTACAGGAAACAATAAAATCAGCAGCCTAAATCGCCCTCGCGTTGGAATCCCCAATTAAAACCCATACTGAAAACCTTCAGCCACACAGTTAGCAGAGCAGACTGGAAATGTATGCAGTTTTTGTTATTAAACCACAGCATGAATAAATCACATAATACGAATCTTCAATATTCATCTTATTTCTACTCTCAGAATATATATTGTATCCTACCACTCAGCTTTAATGTCAGGTTATGGACATAGAGCAAGAGAAAAGCCTAATGGGCTGGAAATTACACTTTAATGACTTACACCTTCCTACTGACTTTGAATACTTGTCTGGATTTTATTTTTTAAACAAGTCTGTGTGTGTCTGTTTGACATTAGAGCACCTTTTGTTCCAGCAGCTCAAAGTTTTAAAGAAAATATGCTATTAACAACACAGTATTCTGATGTTTATAACAAGAATAAGCTACATTAAACAAGGCTTATACAAAAATCCTTTCCCTATGAATGAACACATTGTCAAATTGTGGAGTGCACTACCTTGAGCCAATTGTGGGAGCGTTTGGCAATCTCATAAGTTGCATGCTTTTCCAATGTTTTCACCATTAGGCCTTCACAAGAATCTGCAAAACATTGATACCATTGAGAAAGCTCCAGAAAACCAGATTAATGAACCATTTATGAAATGAAAAAACTACTATTATTGCTTATTAAATGGTTAACATATTAATTAATAAGCTGACAACCTAAAACAACACAAACTGATTTAGAAGTACAAATATTAAAACAATCAAACACTACTTCAAAGGCCCAACAAGATGCCCTAAAACCAACTGAGAATCAGAGCTCTAGATATACACACACAGACCTCGTACAGACTGCTCCAGGAACTCAGCGATGGTTTCTGTATTGTCAGCATCCAGAGATCGAGCAAAAACAAACTCTCCTTCTTTCTCCACAAAACTCTCTCGTAACAAAGCCCTGCGTTTGCTTAGAGGCTCTCGCACCAGAGACTGCAACACACACACACACACACACACACACACACACACACACACACACACACACACACACACACACACACACACACACACACACACACACACGCACACAGTTCAATAAGAGCACATCACATGCAGAAAGCAAGATTTCTAAAAAAAAATGCAAATTCATTCAAGTACGACAAGAAAGGAATGGTTATCATGGTCTTACCTCTCCATTGAGGTACAGCAGGTCGAAGGCGTACACACACACCTGAACCTTGATCTCAGATGCATCCACATCCTGAAAGAATAGTGCTCATGTTATGCCATTTCAGTGCCTTTTCATTTGGATTTATAGATCTCCTTCAAAAGGTTTAATTCTGCTCAAGATCAAAATTAAACTTTTATTGGCTCTCATAATTTACATTGCAGCATTAATTATGTTTCAGTGTGTGAAACTGTTCATTTAAGGATACAGTCTCTGTAAACTCTGAAAGCCTGCTGTAATTGGACACATGGCCAAGTCAGCTATAAATAAGATTGGGTATTATCCATATTTCATTTTAGTGATTTCAATTCTGGCTTATTGCAATTTTTTATTTTATTTTATTATTATAATTTTTTTTGAAGAGAGAGAGAGAGAAAAGCAGATAGTTAAAAATAAATTAGGCTATAAGAAGTAAGATGCAATGGTTAACCGGGAGAATTCATCAAATAATGAAATAAATAGGGATGTATCGATTCACAGTGAGCCGGTTGAAATTTTATTTAAATGCGTGACTATTCAAATGATTGAATCGCGATACATGTTCTGAACAGAAGATGGTGCTGTGCTTACAGGCGCAAACTCGCTTTATCTGACCAACAGCGGCGAGCAAGAGGTGAGGCAGTAAACTAAAATAGCGGTGAGTCACGCCAGACAAACAAAAAGTGTGCAAGTACTGCAAGAATAAGTTTATTCAGAACAGCGAATAGGATGCAGCACATTGAAAAGCTACTGTTCCAGACGCCTATACACAAAAAGTTATTAATAGGCCAAACCACGCAAACCGGAAGATTGGCAACTTCGCTTGCTCAGGTGGGTGCTAACATTACAGAGATCACACAGTGCATCAGTTTTCATAGCGAAAGCGTGAAGATGTTTTTTCAGACTAAAGCTGACTTTCCACTGCACATGACATTCAGTCACCACTGTCGGAATATGCCCCCTTGTGGCAGTTGCACCGAATATTCAGTTTTGTTGTGCACCATAGGAAGCTAATTCTCTTGAAGGTGTCCAAAATAAAGAAGTACAAAAGCAAGAGCCTTTATTCTCCATGTGTTCACCATGGTTGAATGAATGAATAAATACTAGAAACACCTAATAGACTGCTAAAACTTTTGGAGGGAATGTGGAGATGAGATTAAAAATAATATTTTTATTACTAATTTTTGAATAGAATGTTTTTTTTTGTCTGATTAAAAAAGACTGGAATACAGTGTCTAAAATTTCAGCTCATGGCAAAAAACATAGATATTCTTATTTTTCTTTAAAAAAAAAAAATGTTTATATTAAAGAGTCTTCTTTAGTTTGAATTAACTCATTTTAGTTTGTAAAAAAAACGAATTGTGCAGCATTTGAGAAAAACAAGATTACTTGTTCACCTTAATTGTTTCTCAAATAATTTTGTTCAACAAAATCAGGACAAAATCATGTATCATAAGATCCCTGTAAATAAATAACATTTCCATTAAGGATGCACAAAAAAAAAAAAACTCACAAACATTTTAGATAAACTTGAACATGTTATCCTGCAACTGTTTGAATGTATTTAATCATAATTACTATTTAAATAAAATCACTAAGACTTATTGTCAGTTTATCCAGAATTATATGGCTTGAATTCAAAGGTGACTGTTTTTTGTGAGATGCCTGTGTTTCTATTTTAGCTGTATTTGGTGCATTGTTGTCAGACTTAAGGCAGGAAATATCCCTTAAAAACCAGTAAGTGTTGCATGTAGTCAAAAGGTACAGGTTTAAAACATACAAAATATTTTCTTATTATTTATTAATTTTCCTTCGGCGTTGTCCCTTATTTATCAGGGGTCGCCACAGTGAAATGAACCACCAATTATTTTGCATGTTTTACGCATAGAACATGCAAACTCCAGACAGAAAGGCCAAAAGACCCAGCCGGGACTCGAACCAGCAATCTTCTTGCTGTGAGGCAACCGTGTTAACCACTGAGCCACTGTGTCATCTATTTTCTTTTGTTTTAGGCAGAAAAAAAAAATCTAACTAGTTTGGAATAAGTCAAGGATGAGTAAATGCTTTTGGGTGAACGATCCCTTTAAGTAATGAATGTAAATTAAATCATATTTAAAAAAGTTGCAAATGTGATCTTTTTCTGTATTCAAACTGATTATCTGCATTTTAATTTGTTCCTCTCACCTTCCTCTTTCTTGTGGTGAGGACCTGAAACGGCTGGATTTGTTTCTTTTCTCTGTCCCAAGCCACTGCCTCTGAATCCAGAACACAGGACCGTACGCTCTCTTTCTTCACCTGCAAGCGAGACCGAGAAAAAAGGCAAGAACATTTATTAAATCTGCCATCAACCTGAATAAACTGGATCATCGACGCTGAGCACAGCCTCACCTCATCTCAGTCATAACATCTTAAAATTACTTGTTTATAAGGTCACCTGAGCTTTAAACAGTGCCACTTCACCTGCGCATTACACACCGAGACCCTCAGGCTGTGTGACATTTACAATTCAGAAGATGCTACAAGTGCATATTGAGCCTGTGAGAGCTGCCGCAGAATGTATGGAGGTTTTGTCAATGTTTGTAACACTCTCACACAATTAACCGCATTCACAGAGTCTGTGTATAATGGGACTGACATCTGAATTTAATAACAGGTTTGACTGAGTAGCCTGAATGCAATCTGTAGGAATAAATAGCAGAAAGTCAAACCACTCCATTCTCACAACAGCTGTAAATACAACCAGTAACCACAATGACAGGGTTTATTTACACCGAACAGGTATTTGCTTCTGAAAACGCAAGATGCTGCACTCAGAAATGAGTTTCAGCGTGTACACAGGAATCAGACAGTAACAATTTATACCTTTTAAGATGTTGTTTTAGGATTCTTTCCATAAATTTTAAGACCTCAGAACCACTTTAGGTTTCAACCGGTAACATTGGCAGCTTTTTTTTCAACTTGCAGTATATTTACTAAATACTGATTGTAAGAAAGGAATCCAAAGCTAAAACATTATTCAGATACTGAATAAAAATGCTAATCCAGCAGGTGGCGCCTATACAACTGCAGAAATCACGATGTTGCCTTGGTTACAAAGCAATGCCATGCCAAATCTAGCAGGGTTCTATTGATGTTCTAACTACACAGCATCCCAATAGGGTATATGCCGAAGCATGCTAATAGGACTTTTAATTTGCCAGTAACCTGGGTTAATCGCTTCCGGTGAATGGTATGCCAACGCAAAAACCGGCGCGTTTAAGGGCTGTTTTCTTTAAAAATCAGCGATCTCCACTAGCTGAGTGATATCCAATATAAAGTGGGTCTCAGATTGTACAAGAACCACTGCATTAAATTACATTTCCCCCCACCATGTCTTTATAATATGAGTATTTATTTTACCCCAGTATATTCAATGGAGCATCTGCGCTAGCCTGCCAATTCTGATGGGCGCGTTTGAGTAAGCGGCTTTTTGTCTCATTTTATGCTTAAGCAACTAAATGAATGCCAAAGTTTATTAAACCGAATGTATTTTAATGACATTACAACATCGATGCTGTTAAAAGGAACCGTATAAAATGAAAAAACTTCACAATAACAGGTCACCGAAAGTTTCAGTATGGGAAAAACACTAGCTCGGCATATACCCTATATTTAGAGTTTAAATTCAATCAAACTTTAGCATAGAGCTGTAAATTGTACAATAAAATTATATATAAAAATAAATTTATTTTAATATATATCAATTTTGTAAGCTGTTTGGACAGAACTATGTGTGTGTATAGTGTGTCCACTGTCATACTGGAGTGATATAAACCAAAAAAGTGTCTCTTTTTTTTTTTTTACGTTCCTTGAAATAGGACCCACATCTCAGTGATTTTGAGGCCCACTGCAACGAGACATGAGAGTGCGGTTTTCCCTGCCCACCGAATTGATTGACAGGCACCATGTTTCTAAAATAACGCGTTTAACATAACACGTTTACAGAACATTTTTTGTTGCAAACTGGGATTAAAATATTTGTTACAACTCTGTGATTTTTAACAAGTTTTATACAATTAAAATGCTTTTAAAACAGAGCATGTTTGTAACAATGACAGTAACACAGTGACACTATGTAATTCTTAACCGATATAATCACGTCCGCATGGTGTCAGTAAACGTGCATAAATGTGTGGGACTCATAGTTTCAGAAAGGCTTGAATAAACTCCACCACAAATACATGAAATAAACTTATTAGGTATTTTTGAATGAGCTGTATTTCAGCTTCATCCGAGTCTGTCTCTATCACTGACAGCTGTTTATCTGAATTAATGCAAGATGAGAAGCACACACGCACGTGGGAACAGTGGGCAGGCAGAATCAGCTCATTTAGATTTAAAGCCACAGGCTACAAAAATAGCTACAATGTATTCAGACACCAAAATGAGCAGATTGTGGAGGCTATACTTATGTGATGGGTATTTTTAGCTGAAACTTTAGACAAATTCTGGAGACACCAAAAGCATATCTTACATCTTGTAAAAGGAGTAAAATATGTGCCATTTAAATTTCATTACATTGCTTCATCAACTTCAAGACTCAGCGGACACCCTGAGTTTACAAAAACTCAATATTATGTATGCCATCTGATAACGACAATAACGATCCAATTAGAAATAGGCAAATAATGTTATGAAAAGCACTTGAAGATGCATCAAATAACTCAGGATGTCTGCACAATGCCACCATGAGCCTCTCCCCATGATATAATAGTAAATAAAACCGTTCTCTTGTCAACTTTCTACAATAATCCGAAGCTTGCAATGGTTGCCCCGCCTCAGAGCTCTTTTGGACCTGACAGTGATGAGCTGTGCTATGTGTAAAAGTTAAAAGATCTTTCAAGTTGACATGGAGTCTAAAAAACACAGCGCTCAAATGCACATAAAAATCCAAGATGCAAAGGAAACAGTTAAAAACATCTGCCAAGTGCATTTACATGGAAAAAAACTGAATAAAAGTAGCACAATAGAGAGGAGATGAAAAACGCATTCTGTGTGAATGGCCCCTAAGGCTGTTCATACTTGTAGTTTGGAACTTAGTTTGTTTGTTTAGTTTAGCTTTGCATAGTTTTTTAATCGAAATATAACAAAAAACTGCTCTTAAAGTGTATTTGCAACAGAATTTGTTGTGAGCTAAGCTGATACCACTTCTTCAGTTGAGAACTCACAAAAGCTTATAAAATGTGTATAGGAGTCAAAACATCACCCAGCACCTGGAATTTCTCTCTTTTATACTCTTATTCATCAAGCTGCAAAGAGAAGGAGTTCGATACTGTATTGAACTCTAATGGGCAACATCACAACTACTGCAGGAAAAAAAAAAAAAAACATATGCTTGAAGATTCAGTCCTTTTAATGTTTGCATCATGTCTTGTTTTTAGTCTATTCCTTTTATATGTCCGTCAAACAATACCAGAGTTTGTTTGGAAGCTGACCAAGGCCTTGCTTTTGATCAAGTCCAAGGTCCTGCTGTGCAACAAGGTTTGAATTAAAGCATTTACAGTTGTTCAAATGAACCACACAAACAGAACAATCACACCAGAACATGATACGAACCAATTCTGTCAGGTGTGAAAACACTCTAATGGCCCATTTCACGGAGCAGTACAGTTTGGTGTGCATTTTCATGTTCACCTTCAATGGTCTAATGTACCACTTTTTTGGCACTCTTTCTTAGAATACCTAGAACAACAGAACATTACAATTAGAGTGGCACTGCCGCAATCTATTAGTTTAAAGAAAATTTGTCACCAGCACGAGCAACACAGAAAGCACTTATTAAATACACCGCCAAAACGCAACATTGTAATAATACATTACATCAATTATTTTTTCTTGGGACAAACAGCCACTTACAAAGCAGCTAGAACATGATCTGATGCATGTCCTCTATCCGCTTGTTAAGTGGTGATGTGTTGGTGACAAATGTAATACTGTTTCCGGGTCCAAGCCGCCACTCATTTGAGTTGAGAAATACTTCATTCATGATCACTTTTTATTCATATCACACATTAAAGTTAATTTTCTATAAAGTCAGTGTACTTTAGTAATCTCTGGGCTTGCTGCATCACAAATACAAACATAAACAATTTATAAGAATTAAAAAAAATGAACCACTTTTTGGCCATCGGATATTAGGCATGGACATATAAATTGTGAGCGTGATTTTCGAAAGTATTAAATCACTTTGTAAATGTTTATTATTACCATTTCACGAGTCTCCATTTAGTTGAATAGAGCCCTTGGATCTGGAAGACGGTTCGCGTGACATCACACTTAACAAGCGGATTGTTGTTTACGAGGTTATGCGCATGTCAAGTCTGTTGACCCTGGTCCCTGGGGCTGCACAATATATCATTTTAGCATCATTATTGCAATGTGCACATTCACAATAGTTGCATCACAGGATATGCAATGATATTAAAGTGGATCAGGAGCTACAGAACAGAACTGTGAAGCAACACGCTCCTAAAACAGCAAAATGTGTAAACACCCCCAACATGACACTTTTGAACACATTATAATAAAAATATCTGAACTGTGTGTTGAACTGAACCTAAACTGGCACACTCAGAGGAACCATAAAAATTAATATTAAATCATAAAAAAAGGGTAAACTATGTGCCCTTTAAATAACACACATTTAACTGACTATAAGAAATTTTGCAAGTACATCAACTTGTATACTAACCCTAACCCCAACAATTCAATTCAATTCACCTTTATTTGTGTAGCGCTATTACAATGTAGATTGTGTCAAAGCAGCTTGACATAGAAGATAATTGTAAATTGAAACAGTGTAGTTCAGTAACTTGTTATTTTTTTTCTATTGTGAATTAGTTGGCATGTAGCTGTAACATAAATTAAATTCAACAAAACGCATTGAAGGGACCATCAAAATAAAGTGATATTTCAAATAATGAACCTGAGCCAATGAGCCAATTTTATGGCATATATCAAGCCTACCATGCAAGTGCACTAGTAGTGGAAATGCAAGCTTGATCATAGTGACTGAAAAGAACCATGCTGTGCTGTACTAAACTACACCGCTCAGTGAAAACACAGTATAAAATAAACGTAGGAAATAAAGCTTGTTCATTCCAAAAACACCCACTGCTGTTATCATTGTGGTGCTCTGCTATTCTATCATAGTTAAAACTCTTTTAGAGGTATATTATCCTCACTGACAAAACAGGTAATTTGGCACTACAATTATATAATTTTAAACAATACAACTTTAATTAATTCAGAATGTT